CGACATGGCAGGGCTGGGGAGGGGGTTTAGACCCCGGTGGGGCTCAGACCCCAATGTGACAGGGACAGGGGTGAGGGTCCAACTCCAGTGGTGCCCAGACCCTCACAGGGTTCAGCCCCTGACACGGTGGGTCTGCAGAGGGGGGGTCAGTCCCCAGCAGGGCTCAGCCCCTGACATGGCAGGGCTGGGGAGGGGGTTTAGACCCTGGTGGGGCTCAGCCTACGATGTGGCAGGGAAGGGGACAGGGCCCAGAGCCTCCTGGGGCTCAGACCCCAACGTGGCGGAGCTGGGGAGGGGGATTTAGACCCCAGCAGGGCTCAACCCCAGATGTGGTGGGGCTGGGGAGAGGGCTCCCTGCCCCCAGCAGGGTGCCTGGGGGCCGGGGGTGCAGCGGGAAGGGGCTGGCGCCGTCCCAGCCCCTTCCCAGCAGCCCCCCACCAGCCCAGTGCTGGGAAGGGCCTTGGCCCCACTGCGCCTGTTTGCTCTGGCCACCAGCCGAGAGGGCAGGGATGGGCAGGGACCGGCAGCCAGCCCGGCTCTGTGCCTGGGGCAGCTGGGGGGGGTCAGGGTGCTGCCCCACATGGGGTGCACGTCCCAGGGGTAAGGGATGCACATCCCACAGTTACGTGCCCCATAGGCAGGGGGGAGGGGGGCAGCCCCTGCGTGGGGGTGAACCTCCCGTGGGAAGGGGCGACACCCCCCGTGGAGTGCACGTCCTGGGGTGCAGAGCCCCGCGGGAGGGTGAGCACAGACCCCACCCACTGGGGCCAGTACGGATCAGTCCGACCCAGTCCCTGCTCCCAGTACGGATCAGTCCGACCCAGTCCCTGCGCCGTGGGTCAGCGCCAGCGGGAAGCTGTGCCGGGTAGGCGTCCAGCCGTGCCGGGGAGGCCCGGGCGCTGCGCCCAACCCTGCTCTGCCTGGCACTGCCCATGCCTGCCACGGCCTGAGGGTCCCACTGTGGCCTTGGGGTCCCACCGCAGCCTGGGGGTCCTGCTGTGGCCTGGGGGTCCCACCACAGCATCAGGGTCCCAGCGCAGCCTTGGGGTCCCACTGCCCCGTGGTGTGCCCGGGGGTCTCCAGGAGCACATCAGTTGCACCCAGCCTGGCTCAGCCCCCACCTCCCCCGGTGTCGGTGACGGGCCCCTGCCCACCACACCCAGCCCCAGGGACCGGGGCTCCCACCACCACACCCAGCGAGGCTTCGCCCCAGGGACCCCCGGTGAAGGTGGTGCCACAGCCGCGACGTGGGTCCACGGGGTGGGAACTGCGCCTGCTCCCACCGGCCCCGCTGTCCCCTCCCCACCGTGGGGCTGGCAGTGCCAGGGGACAGGGTACTTCCAGAATACTTTATTTTGTACATACAGTTTGTCAGCGTGCGGCGGCAGCCCCACAC